GTTAGATGGGCAAAATTCTAAAGCAGAGGCTATAAAATAATAGACAAAATCACAAGTATTTGAGCATGCTATCTTAGAAAATTGATTGACAAAAATTTAAAGAATTTTGAAATTTATAGCGTATGTAAATTAGAGGGTTTTTGTAAATTAGAGGGTTTGTTTATAATTTTCATTTGAAGGAAGTTTATAACTAAAAGGTATAAAAGGAAGTTTATAACTTCCTTTTATGTACATAAATTCCATGTTTCTTCACATTATAGTAAAATCTAACTTGTGTATACACAGAATCTTAATATAGGTAAAGGCTGTTACTCAGTGCGGTACATGAAGCTTAGTTGGTTAGTGCGTCCGTATATATAAGATGTGGTTCGGATCCTTTTGGTGAAAATGAATTAAATAAAACGAAAACTATAAATTAAACATTTTTTGCCAAAATTTTTCCTAGTTTAATTTAACAGCGACTAATACAAATCGTTGATAATAAAGCGAAATAAGGCTAAATTTTTATTGTTTACTTTTTTAATTGAATATTTAGGGTATTATCTATCTTTTTAGCAAACAAAATTTTAAATCTCCTAAGTTTTGTTTAGATAAAGCCTCTCTAAGTTGGGAGGCAAATATCTTAGAAAAATATCACGCGAAAAAATTGAGCGAAAAAAAGGATAACGAATACTTATTTATTTCAGTGCCACTGAAACGGCATAAAAGTAACAGGTTAAGCTGCTGTGTGAACACCATTTATCTTTGGAACTGAGAGTTTGAAATCGTGAAGTGTATAAGTAATGAGTTAGATCCAACTACTTGTCTGGGGTTTTTTTTGTTCAAGTTTTGGCATTTTTCGTTAAGCGAAACTTGAACTTTTTTTCTCCCCGGGCGTCTATCTTCTATCTTCTTCCAGTTTTATGAAACATTTTTATTTATTTTTAAACTGCTTTTTATTAAATTTGTTTTTCCTTATTAAATTGTTTTTTTATATTTTTAAATTTGTTACGATAAATTTTAAACAAAGTTTTTTCAAATATTTAAAGTTTTATGAAACTCTAAAATTATACTTGTGTTGTTCACTACCGGTTAATAACCGATACTTTCAGTTACCTAAATTTTAAAAACTCTGTTTTCGGTTTTGAGTTTATTAGTAATATTTGTATTAGGCAAAAAATTGAATTCGAATGAGTTCTTTTGTTGTTGTTCATTTATAATTATTTTTAATCAGTTTTTCACTTTAGATTCAATAAATTTATTATCTTAAACTTGGGTAATTAAACCTTAAACTTTTTAGCTTTAAAAACGATATAACAAATGAAATTGCAACTTTACTTTCACTAATACTTGCTTTTTTCATCGAGATCTAAAAATGCGAAAATCAACAGAAATGGGTGTACAGTACTTCAATTTTATTCCACTTAATGCAAATAATAAAATTTTCTTATAGGCTTACGAGAAAGCTTATATCATTTGCTACATGATAAAAATAACTAATTTAAAATTTTCTTTGCGGCGCCAAAGCCATTACAACTAAGGACTGCTGAAAATAATAGAATATAATTTAATACAACTAGTGTAATGTTGATTCTCTGATTTTGAGATTTCGATAATGCGATCACATTATAAATTCATTTCTTTTGTATGTTCTAATGTTACTCTGATAGATATGTTCAACGAATTTTTTAAACTTAGCTTTGTAAATAAAAATTTTACGAGGGGTGTATATAAAAATAACTCCTTTATATATAGTTATGTTACGAATTGTATATTTGAAAGGATTCCCTATTTAAAAATTATTAAAGAGTAATTGAAGGAAACGGATTTGTTAATTTAATTAATGATAAATATTTAAAATATTAATTAAATTATTAATATTAATTAAAAATAAAGAATAAAAAATGGAAAATTTAATGAATTTTGGAAGGTCAAGAAGCTAGATTTATATATATAAAATAAATTAAACTAAAAATATAAATTATTTATATTAAAATGAGAAGGTCAAAGTCCTTCATGGAAACAAATAATAAAAAGTACAAACCCATTATACAAGATTTATGGGTCTGGAAAAAATTTTTTGGCAAATATACAACCAGAAAAAATAAAAATATCTTTGAATAAAAATAAATATCAAGTACAAAGCAATTAGCGTAAAACAATTAGCGTAAAATTGTTTTTTTCATTGAAAACAAAGAGACAGCTGTTGAAATACATTCACAGATTTCTCAACGATTTCTATTGTTAAAACTTATTGGGCAGCGTTTTGGATTTTGTTATTTCTTTATCAATCGCCCACCTGCTGGATAGTAGGAATTTGGCGATCTAACCCGGCTTTTCCTCTCGTTACATGCTCAATTTTAACCAAGCCTCAATTCTTCCTCTTGATAAAATAGTTAACATTTTCTATCAATTGTGCCTCATTTTAAGTAAAATTGGATAAAAATTTAAAAGATTAAATTTTTTGTTTAATTACCGAAGTTTGAATTAAAAAATTCTTATTGTTAAAAAAGAAAATCCTCATCAGAAGAATTTTAAAGAAAAATTTTATTTGGAATTTTAATTGGAATTATTTGATAGATTTTGACGAAGAGGATTAAATTGGAATCTAAAGAAGAAAATTTAGAGTTTTTGACAGACTTTACAATAATTTGGTGCCGCTAACAGGGAAGAAGACGAACTTTGTGGTGTCATTCGACTCACTCAATTAAAGTAATTATAGTCTAAAAAATAGTAATTTGTTCAAATAGGATTTCAAACCTATATGACAAATAATTAAATAATAATTTTTGAGCATAAATTAGAAAAAATTTTTTGAAGTTATTTTCGAATTAGACACCCGATCTTCGAATTGGTACCTTATCATAGTTTTAAAAGTACTGTTAGCGATTTAATTTAAAAAATAATATATCTTTATCGGGGGAATATAAGCCGATAAAATCAAAAATTGGATCCGAGGGTCAACAATATCGGATCACATGACTACTCTACAATGTTAAGATATAGAAAAAGAATAAAAGTAGAGTACGGCAACTTTTAAAAACTTTTTCCGGATCCCAGAACGGCATTGAGTTTCAAAAGTTCGAACAGAACAGTCGAACGGAAAAAAAGGTCATACGGAAAAAAGGATTAAACGGAAATAAGGTCGAACGGAATTAATCACGTAATCGAGAAAATCCATTCTGTTTGTCTTAAAACGTAAAACAATTCGGAATCCTTTTCGGAATTCCTTCTGTGCCGTACTCTAGTATACATAAAATGAATCAGGGTTTCATCATAAAAGTCTTAATTGGGCATGGAGTATAGCTTTGGAATGATTCTGAAGTGATTTGACTCCTCATTTGGATTAGCTTTCTGAATCCCTCATTTAATCTTTAAGTCAAACGGAGAATAATGGAAATATCCTGTACAATATGATTATAAAGGTCATGAAACCCTGATTATTTGAAAATAATCTCGAAATAAAAAGTATGAATCAAAAAATCTTTTCCTCAACTCGTTTTACTACATATCATCAGAACATTGGATAATATTGAAAAGACAATAACATCCAGCCAAGAATGAACAACATGAGGTTAAATCCAAACCAGATTGGAGCCAACCAATGTCCACAATCTGTTACTGTCAAGCTTGAACCGCGTGTTGGTGTACCCGGAAAGCGTGTTGGTGTGCTTGAACTGCCGCTTGGATCGTGATAATACATACGTTTCTGACGTACTATTTGATTTAAAAAGATGTTTGAAATTGAACGTTTGCGGCGACGATCATTTTTCGGTTTCGGGTTGAGGCAAGAGAAGAATTTTGAGAAAGCACTTTTCTTTTGTTTTCTAACTGTAAATTAAAAATTAATTTATAGTGTTTGTATTCGATTGTTATAAAAGCCCCCTCTATTATTCATTCAAAGTAAAAAAGTATTTCTATCTGATAAAACTTATTCCTAAAGCATAATCAGATTTTCACATTTGAATATTTAATTTTTCTCCCATCCCTTTTGATAAAAAAATACAAATTACCTCTGTGACCTTGACCGCCATAATGGGGAGTACCCTGAGATGTACCGGCATGATGAGTACCATAAGATGTACCGGCATGGCGTTGTGGAGTGCCCAAAGGTGAAAAACCAGCATGTTCGATTCCACCTAAAATCGGCAATTTAATTACTAAGGCTTCAAAAATTTATTGGTTCAGCTGTTATAAGTAGGGATGGGATTCATATAGACTATCAATAGGAAAATATTGACATATAATATGGACTAAAAATCACAAAATATGGACTGAAATATGGACTATTATTTTTGGTTAAAAATTTTATTATAAAAATTTTTTATAAGGTGGCGCTATAATTTTGTGAAGCATTGTATATTAGGCTTAATTAATTCTGGCTTAACTACTAATTAAGCCTGAATGTAATATGCTAGGGAACAATGTTATAAAATTAGAAAAAACTTACCAAATTCACGAAAAGGAGAAAAAACAGGTGTTGGCGCGGATGTACCAGCTTGGCCGTATGATGATTCTCCTTCAATTTATTAAAAATTATTTTATGAAAGGATCATTCTCTATGCTTTTTTGGATTAAGTTATATTCCCAATAGAGACCCTACTATGCACGAATTTTCTGTCATGAGACCGACTATAAACTTTATGGAATGCAGTAAAAAAAGGAGTTAGCTTTCACATTTTTTGTGTAGATTAATGGGATAATCAGGTTTACGTTAAATGGGTCTAAAGGGATATCGACAGATTAAGGTGAACTTCTTAATCACATCTATTCCTTATTAGTGGCACTCAACCGTGTGGGAGGGGGGGCTTTTTGAATGGAATTATAGGAAAACTTAGTATTAAAATTAATAATTTGTTATAGTAAAGGTAAATTTCAGAAAAGTGTAGCTCTATTTCACATTGGGCTTTAATGCAGCGTGGAGCACTAAATCAAAAAATACGGAAATTATTGTTTGTTATGGGCAATTATTTTCGGAGAGGGTAATTATTAACGATAAATTAACTAGTACCTATTAAACATTATAAATTATAATTACCTGGATATTGAGTTGTTGGATAAATGTGTGCTTAAACAATATTATTTCATTTAGTATTTATTATAATAAAGGATTTTTATTAGAATTAATAATAATAATTTTCATTATAATATTAAAAAAATTTCGAGCCTGGACATTTACCGAGATAGGTTCTATTATAAAATTCGATATTTTAAATGCTAACCTGGACGTCGGGGAGGCATTATTTCAGCCAAGGAATATTCAAATTCTCCTTCGTTTCTTGCCAAATAAAAAGTTATCCAATCATCGTTGCATGGTTTCATATCTTGTCCACGTCCAATATTGCCTCCTATACCACCACGTTCATCTTCGAATGCTGATTGGCCTAAAAAATTTTAATATTTTTAAGAAAGGATTGGGTTCTAACGCTTAGTCCGCAAAATAGAACAGATATATTGTGAAAACTTACTTAGTCTTGTTGCATATTTAAGCCAATTTTCCTTTTCAATTCGTTCTTGCTAAAAAATTTTTTTAATTAATTAAAGTTTACTTTAGGCGCATACAGTCTCCCTGAAAAAAATTCCATGACCTTCATCATAATCGCATTTCTTTTCATAAAGTACGTTTTGAGCTATTGGCCACACAACATGAAACAAATGAGCTAATCCTTGAATTGTATAAAGAGCCATTGCCATCCTTCCCTGCTCAGCTTGTCTCCATTTATTATCGTGATATTCTTGATCCATGTGATAACTGCCATTTGTTCTGATAATAATAAAGATGGATTTTAGATTGCCGGCAAAATTTAAATTAACAGGCAATTTTCAAATTTGCCTGAACTTAAAATATTTCGCAACCCCGTATCTTTAAAAGATAAAACAAACAATGGTTCAAAGATTCCTCCTTGCAGAACATTAAAGTAACTGATCGAATTGTAAAAGTAAGCAAGATACGGAGTTTGAATATTAATCGGCCGGAACCAACTCTGAGTGATGATCAGCTGATCATTATAAATTTGAATGTCGTCCATTTTTTTATTATTAACATTGTAAACAAATTGGTTTAGTATCGCCTCCTTAGCAAACTTGACTTCTTTTGCAGTTACATATTCGTATTCACTAGGTGTGTAGTTTCCAAGTTTTTCGAAAAATGGGATAATCCTTTCCATAAATAATTCTCCATAGCTATTTGCGAAATAAAATATTCGCGCAAACAAGATTCCAATATTTTCAGATTCTGTTGATATGTTAACAAGGGTATCAAAAATAACATCGACTTTATCATGCCAATTCTGACAGAAACTTAATTTTATTAATAAAGCTGAGTTTAGATTTGAAATACACCTTTTATTTGGTGGTACGAGTTACTGTCAATGAAAAATACCTGCCCGAAACTAACTAAACCCTCTCTCTTATGCTATTTTTGGGTTAATTTAAGGTTGCTTCTTTTGTCACAAATGAATAAATATTTTGTAAAGCCCGGTATATAATGGGAAAGATCAGCCCAAATTTTTTTTGTATACCTAGTTTTACTTCCTCTAGGGCACATAAATTGAGTCCAATTATAAAATAGTTTAAAAATTTCATTGAATTGAAGATTTCCTCCAACATATTGCGGAAGGCTTTGATAGTCGATTTGATCAAAATCCGTGAAGAATCGAGATGTTTCTTTAAAATAAATAATATAATACATACAGCTAGACTGATACTTATTAGTTAACTCATACTAACTTATTTACATATGTGCTAATGTGTTTTGTGATATGGAGTAATTTCAAATAGGAACTGTAGCGAATAATCCTATATTAAATTTGAGAATGCTCTGTTTGTTTGTCCGCAGCTTTAAATTTTGCTGTGTTTGGCGTTGTGTTTAATTTTTATTTAAAAATGACAAAATATCCCAAAAATAAAATAGTGTATGTTTAGAGAAGTAAAGAAAGTAATGAGTATTTTTTAGAAGTTGTTTCGTGTTTTTTTTGGATTTTTTTTGTTTGTTAACTGTATTTAAGATGTGTTTCGATTGTTTTGTTCTTTTGTTTTTTAAAATTTGTTTTATTTAGAAAGAAAAATAGTGTGTATTTAGGGAAGTAAAGAAAGAATGTGAATTTTTTAGAATTTGGTTTGATTTTTTTGAAATTTATTTTTTTTCGTTTTTTGGGCTTTTTCTTTTAATCAATTTTTTAAGTTTTATTTTGTTGTTCGTCTGATAGAAGAGTGAGGGAAGAGTTTCATTAATGTTGGAAAGAAAAGGGTTCCGTAACTGGGTGAAAAGGGTCTGGAAATGGTTGGAATAATGGTGAGCAAAAAGGGTCCCGTAACTGGGTGAGGGTCCCGTAACTGGGTGAAAAGGGTCTGGAAATGGTTGGAATAATGGTGAGCAAAAAGGGTCCCGTAACTGGGTGAGGGTCCCGTAACTGGGTGAAAAGGGTCTGGAAATGGTTGGAATAATGGTGAGCAAAAAGGGTCCCGTAACTGGGTGAGGGTCCCGTAACTGGGTGAAAAGGGTCTTGAAATGGTTGGAATAATGGTGAGCAAAAAGGGTCCCGTAACTGGGTGAGGGTCCCGTAACTGGGTGAAAAGGGTCTGGAAATGGTTGGAATAATGGTGAGCAAAAAGGGTCCCGTAACTGGGTGAGGGTCCCGTAACTGGGTGAAAAGGGTCTGGAAATGGTTGGAATAATGGTGAGCAAAAAGGGTCCCGTAACTGGGCGAGGGTCCCATGGCTGGGTGAAAAGAGTCTGTAAATGGTTGAAATAATGGTGAGTAAAAAGGGTCCCGTAACCCATGGCTGGGTGAAAAGAGTCTGTAAATGGTTGAAATAATGGTGAGCGAAAAGGGTCCCGTAAATGGGTGAAAGGGTCTGGCGATGGTTGGAATAATGGAAAGCGAGAATAGTCCCGTAAATTGGTAAAAAGGGTCTGGAAATGGTTGGAATAATGGTGGGTAAAAAGGGTCCCGTAACTGGGTGAGGGTCCCGTAACTGGGTGAAAAGGGACTGGAAATGGTTGGAATACTGGGAAGCGAAAATGGTCCAGTAAACGCGTGAAAAGGTTCTGACAATAGAGGGAAGTAGAGATTTCGAGCGACATGCAAGAGTCTGTCAAATGGCTTGAGAAAAGGATTCGTCAATAAACAAGAAAAAAGACCCGTCAATAGAAAAAAGTCATTAGGCTTGAGAAAACGGTCCCACAATAAGTGAAAAAACGGTAATGACAGATAGATGAGTGACATTGTTAATAGTTAATAGTTGAAAATTGATAGTTAATAGTTGAAAAATAGATATTAATAGTTAAATAGTGAAAGTTGAAAATCTCAGCTAATAGTTAAAGTTGACATAGATATTAATAGTTAATGGTTGAAAATCTTAGTTAATAGTTGATTTAGTTTTGGCTAGCGGAAGGGGCTCGCCCGAAGGGCGACCCCCTCCGCTAGTAGTCCATAATATCCCTCCTCTTTTCAGCGACGCAGGAAAATTTTGAGGATTTTGGTTGTCAAGCTGACAGATTGCTTAACTATATTTTGGAAAAAAAATTTTGAAAAAATAGGTTTTGGAAAAAAATTATACGTTGGAAAAAAATATATGTATTTCAATACAAATCAGTATCCTACTTTCATATTATGTTTATTATGTACAGATATAGGTATTTCCTGTTAATAAATTTTTACCAAGTTCGAAGCAGCGATTAAAAACATTTTTGTGAAATTGACTGATCAAAGATCCCTTTATAAGAAATTTGTTTATAAAACTTCTCCTAATTTGTGTATATTGAAAACGATTTTGGATCCTTTTCACATTAAATGAAAGCATTGTCGCCCAACGAAGATTGTCTTCGACTTGCTTTATCTTAGAATCATTGGTTAACTGTTTGTCATTTATTGCTATTACACTATAAATTAGATTGTAATTTATAATTGTTGCACCCCGACACCGTACCCCGACCTCTGTTTCCGAAAGATTTTTCAAGATTTTCCAGAACCGAACCCCTCTCCGAAATAAATGAAAACTTCGTCCCCCGACCCGAAAATTGATATCCGACAAAACCCCTGAAATCCGACAAACCCCTCATATCCCTGCAATCCCTCGGAACCGCCTCAAATATACTGCTTACCTGCATCCTGCTAGGTAAAGCAAATAATGCATAGCAAAAGGTTCATCTATGGACAATTTTTGAAGCATTCCCTTGCTATTCAATCCTCGAATAGGATTAAACCATGCTGCCTCACATGAATCTTTCCATACTATATCCCCATCTTGATTATTTTCAAATTGATTGAATCCCATTATTTTCTGCCAATCCTCGTTATACATAATTTGGCTTAAGCCCTTTACAAAATCATTAAAAATTAATAATATATGAAATACCGTAACTATTAGCCCCATTCTTTTAGAGGCCTACATCTATGATAAACCCATACAAAGAGAACCATTGGAAATATAAGTCCAAGTCTTATATTAAAATTTTATAGGCTCAATAAATATTTATAGGCTCTGCTATTTATAGGCCCTGCAATAGATCATAAGCTATGCGATTTATAATATGGCAGCGATTCACCTTCATAATTTTGTCATTAAGGTTTGATTGGATAGAAACTTTTTATAACCTCCTTTGAGCTTTATATAAAGAGGACGCAACCTCGTTATGTATATTATACATAAGTTGGTTGCGAAATACAAAGCGTCTTTTTTAACCTATAACAATAAGCACTTACTCTAATATATCGAAAATCGTGATTCCACTTGTCTGTTCCGACATAAAAGCGATATTTGACAAAAGCTTTAACATCATCATTGCTAAAGTATTCTTCAAATTCAAAGTCTTCTCCACGGAGCACTTTCATTATTTGGCGAATGAGGCGCAATTCCTTAAATTTCAATTAAATAGATTTCATTAATCGTTATGTTCGTTCCTCGCATTTTTCCTTCCTTAAGATACGTAAAGTTTACAGTACTTTTATTGCTTTAACTAAATAATGTATAGAATTAATTGTCTTATAGAAAGAGTTTGCAAAAGTTTAGCCACCGGGCAGGATTCACCTGCTAGTTGTTGCTAGGCGCTTTCGCTCACTATATGCAGGAGCTCTACCTCTGAGCTACCGGGGCATCGACTAATGCTTTCTCTTTTTTCTTTTTAGATCGTTTAACCCCCGCCTAAGCGTTTTAAATGCTGCTGGGTGAATCATCCTTACATTATTCAATCAGTAAAAGAGTGAGTGCTTCGGTATGGTTCAGTTGAAAGTTTAGATTACTAGAAGGATTCAGGCGATTCCTTATGAATTTCAAATCTTCACATCAAATCTTTGCAAATTTTAAATTATTCAGATCCATAAAAATGGTATAGCGACAATATGTATACCATAGCGAAGAGTGAAATTTATGAAGGAGAAAATCTGAAGATTATGTGCCTTCTGAGAATGGACAATGCGGTGAAAGAACATGATTACTACTAAATATTTAAAAATTTCAAAACCTCATATTTTTGCGTAGAAGCTAGTAATAATACTAGAAATCTAACACTATCTTTCACTCTTACAGCCCGAAAATTTGGATCAGCCAACATCCCCGACAATTCATTAGCAATAAATATAGGCTTTGTAAG